AATCAAATCAATCCATCAATCAATCAATAAATAAAAGAATTGAAACGGAAATGGGCTGGTCACATAACAAGAACTGATGGCAGGTGGACCAAGGGAGTTATAGAATGGATCCCACTTGATAAAAAGCATCCACGAGACCTAAAGCAAGTATTGTGGATCCAATTGGCAAAAAGCTCAGAACCGTATTAGTTGGAAACATACGGAACAGGCCTTCATCCTGCAGTGGACAGACAATTTCTAAAATTGATGACGATGATGATCAGGGATAATACACAATAGTTGTGACTGCCAGTCATTTTCAGATGACCAAGTCAAGAATCATTGCAACAGAGAATAAAGGCAGAGGTTGGGTTTAGAATTTAACAAGGAGCAACTGATAGGATAGAGTTATTTCTCCAAATGAATACTCATTTAGAATTTATCTGTTGTGTTGGAGAACCTTTTTAAGACTAACGAATTTTAACTAACAAATGATAGCTCACTCAATTAGATGTTTAAAGTGGCTAAACTGAAGTAGGATTTAAACTGGAATGGGGTGGGGAAAAGTTACCAGGATCTTCTGAAGAATAGGTTTTACTTCACAATAATCTCCTGGCCTTGGATGAAAAAAATGCCCTTCCTTGTATTTTAATTTTACATTTGCTGTTTGTTAGCAGCCAGCTGCTGCCTCCTCCTTTAAGATGTTGAGTTGAAGGGTCAGCCTAGGCAAAATGCCAGGAATTGAAGTCATCTCTTTATAGCTAGGCTCGAGACTTCCTGTTATTGTAATAATTTCCTCAGGAAATCTGACCACTACAAATGTTCTGGAACTCTCCAGAGATTTTAATTTATTGTTGCTTGGGCAGCCAAGATAAAGTTATATTTTATTCTACATCATTTGTCAATTCAGTAACTCATGTCCTTGATATTGCATAATTTATATAGATTTTAAGGAAAACTAGCTTTCTCCTTGAATGCTGTTGTCACAGTGATGCAGTATTGGCTCATTTTACAAAATGCTCCTTGGTCATATCAACTGGTAATATAATTAGGTTGTAGGGTAGGACACAATTTCTATGTGTGCATTTATGTCTTTTTAAATGATTTGTTGTACTTTTTGAGCAATTGAGAAATCATGTATCCTTGCAAAATAATAAAAAGAAGTATCTGTGAATTACCAAAGTATTGTTGTTGCTGCTACTACTACTTTTCTTTTGTTTCGATTGAATTTTGTGAAAACTCCTATATCTGTATGGTATAGCAGTGGAACTTCAATTTCCCCAAAACAAATAAAACTCTAAAACAAATAACATAAAAATAAAATTAACATTGGCAGGAGTGTGTTGTCACTTTATTAATAGTGTTTCACAGACACTACCAAACTACATGCATGATACAGAAACAATTGCATTCTAATTATCAGTCACAGCTGAAGGGAGAACTATATTTCCCTAGTGGGAAAGTATTACAAAGGGCTGAGAAAAGGTAACATGTCTGGAAGAAAAATGTGATCTTGGCTATGAACATCAGAACTTCACAATTGCTTATATCCTTGTATCTAAAAATATTGGTATACTTTCTCACAAAGAATAATTGGATGTTCAGTTCATAAAACAAGTATCTAAGAGAACATTAGGGGGCGTATAAAATTGTAAACAGTATGGAAAAGTGGCTCTCCCTCTTATTTTACAATACGATGGCTAGATTCACAAATCGCATCAAAGCATGGGTTTGATTGATTTTTGCTTAGTGAACAGCATGAACCCAACTGCTACAGCTTGTAAAGCATGGTGTACAGTTCAGAGTGTTACATATTACAGTCAACTGAAGCTGATTCATTAAACCATGGGTAAATAAACTATCATTTAATGCAGTGTAAGCAAGGTGTATATCTTTTATTTATTTAACCAAATAAATAAATATCAACAAGTGCATTTTTATACAAAACACAAATACATAATGCTTGCTTAGTTAAGATTAAAAATAAACTGATAAATTTAAGTAGTAGAGATTTATTTGCTACAAAAATTAAATGAAACTGCTTTCTATGTAAGTCAAGGCTAAACAGAACCTGTGAATGCACAAAAGAACAACATTTTTAAAATAAAAATGCTGTACTATATTGAGCCAGATTTGTTTCAGCAAAGTAATTGCAATAAAGAATTTATTATTATTATTATTATTATATATTTTATTCATTAAACATTATTATTCTCTTTTATTCATTAAAAATGAAACTCAGTCAACTGTACATTTAAAAATATGTCACAAATACCATTGACTGGTGCTAATGATTGATACGGGTTGCTGCCAGCGTTCTAGGTATCAACCAAGTACCTTCTTATAATATATGATGTTCCGAGTAGCGCAGTTTTTTGCAGTTCTGCTGATGTTATTGCAGGAAGCTGCAATTTCTTGAAGTGTTTTGTGAAATTCTTGGACATGGTACCAAGTGCTCCGGTGACAATGAGTACTACTGTGACATGTTTCATCCATAGCAGTATAGTTTCTATGGCCAGTTCGCGGTATTTCATGATTTTTCCAGTTCTTTTTCTTCAACTCTGGCATCTCCTGGTACAGTGATATCAATAAACTGTACGCTTCGGCCGTCAACAACTGTGATATCTGGCGTGTTATATTCCAAATTGTTATTATTATTATTATTATACAATGATTTGGTCTGGGAAATCTACTTCACAGATTTGATGGCACATTACCAAGAAAAAAAGTATTTTCATAATATATAAGGCATCAGCTCTAGCCCTCAAAGGCTACTCTAGATTGGTCCTAATTTGTATGGGAACTGAAACTTTCCACATTATGTATAGAAGCTCAAGATTTCAATCACTTAATAAAACACTGATTCCACTAGGAGTAGCATAACTGTAACTATTTCCACTAATTTCAAGGAAGTCAGGCCGATGAATTACAGTGACATCACTTTGTGTTAAAACTGGAGCCTAAAATTAAAGACCTGCTTCCATTTTGGGCTTAAGCACAGCATTACAAAATGGATAAATCTGGCATGTTATATCAAGCAGCATAGCTGTGGGAATTAACAGGATACAGCGCTGTAAGAGACAAATAGATTTCCCCAATAACATTTTTTTTAACTTTCAGGACAAATACCAAACTGGGACAAGGTAAAGAAGAATAGGATTATAAATTAATACTTAATACTCATTAATTCTTAATTAGTAAAAATATTCATTAATCTGTAGAACATCCAATTTCTGAGATACATTTTTTTAAAAAAAAAATCTTTAAGAATTTTATCCAATAGCCATTTTTTAAAAAGCTGAACTATCAAGACCTAGTTACTGGAGGAATGCCTATAATATCTGTTGCAGCAAAAACAACCTTAAGCATTGCATAAATGTATTTATTTCCATATTCATTTTTAGGCAATTTTCAAAAAGCTGGCTAAAAGTATAAAGGCAATACAAGTATTTGTATGGGGAATTCTGGATGTTGAAATCTACACATCTAGCTGAGGTTGATCAATATTGCTATAGAATATGGCAGCTGCGAGAGAATGACACACTGAAGTTCTAGTCACATACCAGTTGTCCTTATTTAGCAACCATAATTGAGTCCAGCAACTAAGTCATTAAGCGAAGAAGGAGCTAAGTAAGCACAACTGTGTTTATGACTTCAGCTTTCCTTTGCTTTACAGATCTGTGAAGGTTGTAAATGTGAGGATTGGTTGCAAAGTTATTTTTTCATCACTGTCATAACTGCAAACAGTCATTAAACAAGGCAGTTATTAAATGAGGACTACTTATAGTCAGTGGCTGATAAAAGATCTTCAGTTTCTAAATATCTGTTAAAAAAAAACCTGAAAAACCACATCAGTTTTGAAGTGTATCACATTCATTGGTTAATTGTAGTGTTTTCTAATGGTGCTAATTTTACATTATTTCCCCAGTTGTGACTTACAGTATCTTCAAGACAAAATTAACACGGCAATGAAAATGCTACAAGCCTCTAATGGGAGAATGACCTTAATCAGTGACTTTGGGCTTTATATATTATCCAGCTCCTTCCCTCAAGACACAGAAATATGCTTTTCCTTTCTCAGAATGAATTAATGTGAATTAATCAAAACCATCCAATGGCTTCACATGTAATTAGTCCTAATCCAGACTGCTGATTCCAAAATTATAAATTAATGGCTTCATACTGCTCCTAAAGTTTAACAAAACTGGATAAATGTAACTTACATATACCTAGCCAAAACACGACTGGAAGAGTTACTGCCTTATGGGATGTGGGAGATCATCTAGCCTAGTCTGGCACAGGGAAAGTACAAGTAATTCTTGATTTATGACCACAATTGAGCCCCAAATTTCTGTTGCTAAGTGAAACATTTATTGAGTTTGCCCGCTTCTTGCCAGTTAAGTGAATCATTATAGTTGCTAAATTAGTCAAACTGTTGTTAAGTGAATCTGACTTTCTTATTGACTTTGCTTGTCAGAAGGTCGCAAAAGGGGATCACATGACCCTGGAACACTGCAACTGTCATAAATATGATCCAACTGCCAAGCATCTGAATTTTTATCATATCACCATGGGGTCATAAGTGTGAAAACTGGTCATAAGTCACTTTTTTCAGTGCTGTTGTAACTTTGAACGGCCACTAAACCAACTGTTGTAAGTTGAGGACTACCTGTATTTAAAGCTAAAGAAATTTGTTTAGACACCTGATTTTAATATATTATAATATATAATATATATTATATATTTATATAATATATTTATAATATATTATAAATAATTATATATATAATATAATATATTAATATAGATGGATGAAATAAGTCAAAAGTATTAGAACTCCAGTTTAGCCAAAGAATACTGTACTTTACCGCTTTTTCTTTTCAATCTCTCTTTAATACGACCATTTTTCCAGCCTCTGCCAAGAGAAGAAAAGACTCTCCGGGCTGATTTTATCAGACCTTCCCTGCGCTGGAAAAGAGGCCCTTCAGTAAACCGAGGATGTGAAGGTTAGGCCTAACTCCTGACACATTTCCTTCCTGCAATTAGAAGAGAAGGCTCTGGGAGTCCTGATACGGTTGTGAAGCGTAAGGAAAAGGAGTTCCCTCCACACGGCATTCCTTCAATCCAGGTTTCCGTTCCCATTTGTGGAGCCGAGAGCCAAGATGCGAGGCCTGATCTTCGCCTCGCTCGCCCTCTTGCCGCCTTTCTCAGGGCTCTGGGGCTCTGCCGAGCTCACCCAGAGCGGCCGCGCTTGGTGCCAGGCATCTGGGGCCTGCTACAGCATCCACCTAGGCCGCATGAACTTTTATCAGGCCCAGAACGCTTGCGCCCAGCACGGGGGAGCCCTGAGCACGGCCAATGGCCGCACCGAAGTCGGGGTCATCCTCGCTCTGTTGAAAGGACTCGTCAGCGAGACGGCCGGCTCTTTGTTTTGGTTGGGCCTGGTTAAGAAAGCCCAGCAATGCACCCTTGAAGACCTGCCGCTCAGGGGCTTCTCCTGGGTCTCCCCGGGGATTGAGGAGCCGAGAGACAACGGGACCGCCACGCCGCCCAAGTGGCTCAGAGAACCGACCAAGTCCTGCACCATGCAGAGATGCGCCGGGTTGCAAGTCAGCTCGGGCCAAGCGGACCTCAACCGGTGGGGCCTGAAGGACCACAGCTGCACCAAGGGCAGCCCCGGTTATATCTGTAAATACAACTACGCGGGCACGTGCCCCGCCCTCCACTCGGCTTCTGGCGCCCGCGGAATGTTCTACTACAGGCTGCCTTTTCAGCTTCAAAGGCCGGCCGTGGAATTCAGCCCTCCGGGCACCAATCTTACTATAAGGTGCCCCGGGCGAGAGGCGCGATTCACTTGCCGCCTGTCGCCCAACGGCTCCCATTGGGAAGGCACGGAGCGGGACCTGTGCTCCTGTCCCAGCGGCTACTGGAGCCCGAGCAGCGGAGACTGTGCGGAATTCACGGACTGCTTTAGCGCCCAAGGCGCCTTCCGTTGTTTATGCGCTTGGAGATCCCGCTTGGCGGCCGACGAAGGGAGTTGCGCCGCGCCAGCCAGAGATGCCGCGACGACGGCGAAGCCCACCGTATCTACTCCGAGGGCTACGGGGACTTTCCCTTCCAACAGCACCAGCGGACCTGGTCAAAATATATCGCTTCTGGAGCCGTTTCAAACTCCGATCGACAACGGCACGAACAACCGTTTGCCTACTTCAAACACCTTCAACTATATCTTCATCCTGATCACGGTGGCGGTGGTGGCTCTTCTGATTATGGTCATGGCCTCGCTCCAGGTCTTCCAGAGGTGCTTCAAGAACTGCTCTTCCAAGGGTTCCCAGCCTACAAAAGATGGTGCTGTGATTGTAGAAGGCGACCCAGAAGCCTCTGCCACCCCCACCGACTCTGAACGCTCCTTGGGACCCAGCAAAGCAGAGTCCATAGCCTCTCAGTAAGATTTTAAGCCAGCTGAATTGGGACAACCATAAGGAGGCCAGAAAGACACATGAGAACATCTCGAGAAGAAATCCAGTGGTGGACGAAGAGGAGATATTCTTTTGAATATAATAAATAGTAGCAAATGTTTTACAGGTTGCATATGTAGAAATGGAAGTTATCTGTTTTGTTTAAAGGCAGTTGTGTTTTGTTTGACACCATTTGATGAACTAGAACGGTTTCTTTTTCTTCGATATGCCCTTGGCAACATTGATCAGAAATCTCTCTTCCCCACCATCTAGATTATTCCCTAAAATAGAAGAGTTAAAAGAATGAGAAATGGCAGTGCATATTTCTTGCAGTGATCCAGCTAGATAATTGAAAAATGGACTGCTGCAAGTGACTGTGCTGTGTGAAGGCCACCACTTACTTGATTGTAGTCTCTTTCTCTCTCTCTCTCTCTCCTCCCCCTTCCTTGTTACTGCAGCTGAGCCCAAGCTGTGTGAACAGTGTTGTGTTGCCTGGAGAAAAGTTCAAGGAGTCAAAGCTAATTATATCTACTCTTGCTGTATCTTGCAAGAATTTGGACTGGATGCACAGGCTCTGCTGTCACTGCCATATTGTCTATAGGGAGAGGAGAACAAGCTAATAGAACTGATTATAGTTGTAAGAAGTCACTCTTGCAGGTGGCTTTCTTGGGTGGTACAGTAATTATGGTTTTGGAAGATAGGTAGATATTTGCCATCAAGGAGCAAAGGGTAAAGTGAAACTATGGCTCCTGTATGCTATCACTTTTATCACATAACTTTCTTATTTTTAAGCCCTCAAATATAATTCTCATTTTTAAGGTATTAATGGTAAGACTTAATCAGAAACCAATAGAGTTATTGGAAGTGCATTATATCTCATTTGAATTTGCGGGGTGCCTATCTAACACAGTATTGATATAGTTGTCTTTTTGGGAATGTGTCCCATTGAATCAAAGAGAACATATTCCAAATAGACATATTAGGATGGCTCTCTTAAGTTCATCTTATTTTGAGTGTCATGGCTATTCTACTATACAAGCATGTCCAGTTCAATTTGTCTGGCTGAAAAAAATGCTCTGAAAAATGCAGTTCTGTGGCTTCATCGATTCTTTTAAAGGAAGAAATATTGACCAGTGCTTAATTTTTATGATGTAAAGTTTTGTGTTCCAACTTGCTTAAATGGAAATCCCCTAAATATAGACATGGCAGTTTCCAAACATTTCTTTAGCATATGCTAGTTCAATGTTATGAAAAGTGTTGCACTTCACCGGGTTCATATATGTACCTATTTAATAGATGGCTTAGCTGATCATTTTAATTTCTTCCATCTCGCTTTTCTAATGATTTGAACTTGATAATTCAGCTATTTTCTAGATGTCTTGCTCCTTAGATGTGTCAGATATAACCAGGAAGAGATCCTTGGCATCTAACTTATTCCCATGAAGACTCATTTTTGGGTTATATTTTGGATTTTTTTTCCAAAATGGAGAAAGACTGTTTCATTTTTCCAGTTCTTAATAAATATTTTATCAGTGAATTGACTGATGTGATGCTGCATTTATCACTTGATTTTCATTGTATGAATATCATATAGTCCTGCATTTTATATGGCTAACTTTTTTACTGATGAATTTAATATGAGAAAATTCAAGAGATTCAAGGAAAAAGTAGGATATACATTTATAAATTTATTATTATAAATGGAACACCAACAAATGAATGCATGGAGATTTGGTGCCTTACTCCCTCACTGTAAAGTATCATGGAGAAGTCAGTTTGAAAATAAACCCAGTAAGGTTAGGAACAGAGAAACACGATTTAAACGAAACATTAAGCATCTTTTAGCAGTTTTATTTCAAATGGAGAAGTAGAAAGGTCAAACTCTCTTCTGCTTTTATTAAGAACACCTAAATTGAGCATTTCAACCAGATAACATTTTAAAGTCTGAGCATCAGTATTCAAAAACTTCATATTCAGAACTTTAATTGGAAGCAGCTAATTTTATTCAGAAAAGACTGGTAGCCCAGTAATCCAAATTACCATGAATTGAATATAAGACCTTATAATCAGATTATCATAGGACAGGTCTTTATAAATGTGAAAGTGGATATCGGATATATTTTGGGCGAAATATACCTGTAGGATATGAATGCTTTCATTTGGAATATGCTGGAACACATGTTGTAAGAGTTAAATGTTCTTTGCTAATGATTAAAAGGGCAGGCAGTTTGTTGCTTTACTAAAATCCATGTAGGAATAGTTTAGCAGGTGCAGAGAAATTAGAGTCTGTGGGAATACTAGATCTTATTTGTCTCATCCAGGTTTTTTTTTCATTCTGTCTGCCTTTTCTTCTGGAATTCCAGATTTATTTTTGCATCTTTAAACATGGACCTAGAGTATTTTAGTTAATTTAATAACTAAAACCGTAGCATTGCAGTCCAACTGATATATGATTCAGCTACATGGGGATGATGTAGAAAAGATACAAAATGTTTAACATATAAAATGTTCATATATTTACCTTTAATGTAAATTCCTGAAGGGTACTGAGGATATGTACTGATTATGCTAAGCTTCTAAGATTGGAAGGGCAGGGGAAAAACAAACGTTAAAAGATTTTCTACTGGGAAAATAAGTGTTTTGGTTTTCCATAGTAAATAAAATGCTAAGTGCCAATGAACCTATTCAGTTTAGTGACCAAGATTGAACTATACTTGCAATTTTGACCCAGGAACAGTTTTCAATATTCTTAAGCAATATACTACTAACTGGAGAAAATTAAAATATGGATGGATTTTGCTTGTGGAATCACTGTCTCACTTATCCAGAGTGGTGTGTGAAAATTCTGTCTTGCCTGACAACTAGAAAATGTTATTGTTTCACTATACAAAGGGAAAGAGAGTACTTATGAAAATAAAGACTACTATATAGAGAAATTAGTAAATGTGTTTTTGACAAATGTCTTAGGAAATGTTTAGTGCATGTTTGTTGATTTAGAAAAAGTATACGATAAAATGAATACAATGGAATTCAGAAATGGTTTGCATGAATAAGGAATTAAAGCTATTGATGGATGCTGAATGTGGCATAATGATGGAAGTAAAACATGTATAATAATAAAGGCATCTTAATAATTCAACATTGAACAGAGAGTTAGACAAGGATGTCATGGTGGTTATATTTAGAGGTAAATGTATAAGGAATACTTGTCATGATATTAGAGGTCTGTTCTCTGGGCATGTGAATAATTGTGTACCTTTATGGGCAAACAGTGTTGAATGCTTGGCTGAAAACTTGAATGCTTTTGCAATGAATGTTAGATGTATTGTCTGATATGTCAAGGACTACGGATCTGAAAATTAAGATAACAAAGCCCAAGATAATTGTGTTTGACAAGGAAGATGGAGAGAATGATGGCAAGTTACGCATAAATGTGAAGTAAATGAATTGGTATATCTCTGAACAGTATGTACAAAAAATGGGGAGAAGACATGCAAATGCTAATATAGATAGTGGATAATATGTTTGGTATGGCTGTGAATAAGAATGTGCTTCTCCACATTTTAGTATATCAATGTTTCTCAACCTTGGCTATGATATTTCAACTCCTAGATTACCCCAGCTGGCCTACAGGAATTCTTAGAGCTATTAAGGTTGAAAAACACTGTTACATTGTATGGAAATTGGATCTGAGTTTGTTGTGACAAGCATAAAAGAAAGTTGAATGTAGTTAAAATGGATTATTTAACAAGTGTGTGGTTAAAGAACAGTGGGGATAATGGATGAATGTGGATTGTACACAAAAGTATGAATGTATGAAAAGTATGTGAAGATGGCTTGTTATGTAGAGGGAAAGGATGATGATCAAACTGCAAAGCAAATAGATGAAGAGTGAGTAGGCTAAAAGGGAAAATATAGGTAATTGAAGATGATGTTGAAATTCAACAAAAAGTGAGAAGTTTAGAGAACAAAAGGCAATCTATAAAGTGGTTAATAAATGTATATGGAAGTAAGAGTGGTTTGGGAGATATAATACATGGTGTTGGTATAAATCAGGTTTGGCTGTATTTTCTTTTCTTAACATGGCTTCATTACTTAACCTTTATTTATTTTAGTTTATTATTTTATTTCTTCTTCCTTTTCTGTGCTTTTTATAATGTTTCTTACACTGAGAGGTAATAGAATATTGGATGTAAGGATGAACATACAATTTTATGCAACCTACTTTACTCCTATGCAAATTTGTGCCTTAAGTCTATCTAATCCAATATATATTTATCTTGGTTGAACTGTATCTACACACACACACCTAATAAATTTAGAACTAAGCATTATAAAAACCAAGAGTTGTTACTGATACAGCTATAATTTTTTATTGATGAATTCAGACCCATGTGGCGCTTCCTTACTACTAGAAGGCAAGTGAAAATCCTGTGCACTCATATTAGAATAGGGATGCATCAGATATTAGTAATCGTGGAATGGAAGGAAATACCTTGATGTAGAGCTATAATTTTGTGCTTAATTATATATGAAAGTGCCTAGATCTGCATCGTGAAACCCTAATCTAAACTAAAATGATTTTTCAGCAAAATCAGTAGAATTATTTCCAATCCATATAATGGCTAGAAAGTGAGAAAAAATATGTTCAAACTTTTTTTTTTTTAAAGAGCTGGTATTGAATAAGCAAAGCTGCTTACTGCACAGATAAATTTATGAACTGTTTATATATTTATATTCACTGGAAATTATTTGGATTCTCAGCTACCAATGTGGTATTATCAACATATAAAATGCACATATGCCTTCTTCAAGCAACATACTCCTTACATCATTTAAATGCATTCCTTATACATTTAAAAACATTCCTTATCCATATACTTATTCAACAAGCAATAATTGGAGCCATAGATACTGCTTTCCACTGTCCATCATGGCTTTGAACAATCAAGGTTTTCATATAGCACTTTTTAATAACATAGCAAAAGTGTAGATTACGTTACAGCGTTGTATCTATACAACATGCATCATTCCTTGGTTATGTAAGAACAATACTAGTAGGTTTTGGATATTATAGCCAATATGCCACAAACTTAAACAAATCCTTGTAGGATTTTTTTTTTACATAGAAACTGCTCTAAGAAACTGCATGCAGGATCCCTCCAACATGGGATTTCTACCAGTGGTGAAATTCAAATTTTTTTACTACCTGTTCTATGGGCGTGGCTTGGTGGGCGTGGCAAGGGAATGATACTGCAAAATCTCCATTCCCACCCCACTCCAGAGGAAGGATACTGCAAAATCCCCATTCTCTCTCCACTCTGGGTCCAGCCAGAGGTGGTATTTGCCGGTTCTCCGAACTACTCAAAATTTCCTCTACCAGTTCTCCAGAACCTGTCAGAACCTGCTGGATTTCACCCCTGATTTCTACCTCCTTTCCAAAAGAAGACTGCCCAAAAAGAAAAATATTCAGCTTCTTTTGAATTATTAAGCCACTTCACTACTAGCATTAGAAGAATTGCAACGTACAAATACACAAGTAGCAGCAGCAGCCATGGAGATGTGTGTGTGTGTGTGTGTGTGTGTGTGTGTGTGCGTGTGTGTGTGTCAAAATGGCAAACTGAGCCCATCCTTTGTGTAAATCCCTTGACATCCTGTGCAAGTTTAGACGGGGGAGAGCTTCCATCACAATTCTGTTCCAGATGTCTTGCAAGTTTTGCTCCTTCCCTGACAATGGCAGCTGACAGACAATATAAAAATAACTATATAACAGTAAAACTCAGTGTGGTGAATCTACCTCGGGACACTGCAACCTTCATAAATATGAGTCAGTTGCTAAGCTTCTGAATTTTGATTACGTGACCATGGAGATGTTACAATGGTCATAAGGGCAAAAAATGGTCATGTCACTTTTTTCAGTGCCGTTGAATGGTCAGTAAATGAACTGTAAGTTGAGGACTACCTGTAATACGGGATTGTCCTTGAGGACATCTGGAAACTGCAGCTAGTCCAGAATGCAGTAGCACTTGTACTTTTGGATGCCCCACTGTTTATTTGAGTAATTCCACTGCTGTGTGAGCTGCATTGACTTCCAGTTTTCTTCCGGGTGCAAGATACTAGTTATCATCTTTAAAATCCTACATGTTGTTTGCAGGACTGCCTTTCCCTGGGGGTATCTGCCCATCCTGGTAGGTTAGCTAGAATGAATGCACTTGAGGTCCCCTCCCTTAAATTTGCTACCTGATGGATCTTAGAGCCAGGCCTTCTTGATGGCCACCTCAGTCCTTCCGAACAGCCTCTCACTAGAGATCAGGGGGATTCCTCCTTGTTTCAGCTTCTGGAGGGCTGTGAAGACCTGGTTCTTCTCCCAAGCATTGGACTGGAAGGTGGGGGAAGAAGATAGATAGAAGATAAATTAGATAGACAGCCAGATGATGATAGATGATAGTTAGCTAGCTAGCTAGCTAGCTAGCTAGCTGGATGGGTGGATGGGTGGGTGGGTGGGTGAGTAGGTAGGTAGATAGGTGGGTGGATGGATGGA